CTGTTGAACAGATTCTAAATTATTACCTAAATTTAATACTTAGAGAACTTAGACAATATTGCAGTATTTCTTGGGTCCTGCACTTCTCATATGGGTGCATTATATTATTTTCAAACGACTTTTTACAAAAAAATAAAGAAGTGTATATTATATTATAAAGATTTATTTTGTAGAAACAAGGCAGTTCTGCCTGTCATAATGCATCGATAATATAGAAGTTTACATGCGGATTTGGAGTCATGATATACTACATCTTCAAAGAGCTTAACTGACCAAGAAGGAACGGAGCGCGATTTTCCGATCCAGCAGCCTTTAACGATCCGCTCTTCTGTAAAGCAATTTATTGAACGAAAAATAAAACTTGATTCATGACTTTTCAGTTCGGGTAACAAACTTTAAAAGAAATAAAAGCTTGCATTGTTATTAGGACCAACTACAGCTAAGAGAAAAATTTTCAAAAAAGATAGTGAGTCGTTATAGGCCGCTGGATTGTAAATTAGCCCAGTCAAAATTCTCCAAAATTACGTTTAGAAGACTCCGTCGTAATACGAAATGCTTTTTTGCAAGCAGTATGCTATTTTTATAACTGTTGTGAGTTTAAAACTATTACCCATGACTATTAGATCAAGTTTAGCCTATCTAAAGTCAGTGTTGTCTACTCTTACTTTGCAAATGGCCCAAAACGTCAATAAGGTGAAAAGCCACAGTTTTGTGAAAATTAAAAGCATTTGTGGTCAATTTTTTTTTTTAATTTTAAAACTTACCTTAAAGAATTACTTGGGCTCATAAAAATTTGCAAAAACTGTGATTAAAGTAGTGATCTTGATAGTTTTCAACTGGGTGGAAAAAATTCACCGAATTGGCGATTTTTAAAATAGTTTATAACTTTTAAAATATTTAAGTTATTTGTCTGTTCAGAAGCTCAAATAATTCTTCACGGCAAGATAACATATATAGTTTAAAATCATCGCATTGCTTTAAGCGTAAAGCACTTAAAAGTATGGCATTATTTTCCTTGGCGACAGAGCTTCGGAAAACAGCGTTAAGTAAACGAGCATTTGTGTAAACATAAAGACATGTAAGACAACAAAAACATAAGACAATTGTTTGTTTTTATAATATGCATTTATTATATAGTATTGCAGCTCAATGTACAGCTTTTATCATAAACTGACTGCGAGTGATTCGCATATTTGGCATCAAGTACAAAATTTCAAATCATGAGCGTTTTTGTAAACCATTTTTTTTCCCCAAACACTTGCAGTCATCGTTGTAATATGCGATAAGAAAACACCAAAGGAAATTAAAAAAACCTCAATCCATTACACAGTACGAGACTTCAAAGATTTCTATTCAATAAGAATTACTTTTAAAAAATACAAAATCCGTAAATAAGATTTTCATAACTCAAATTCAGTAAATTTGGATTGTTTGAATCAATAAATTCGATTTGAACTAATATGGCAGTACTAATAATACAATTTTACAAGTAGATTGATACTTTTTGGAAATAATTGAAACATTAGAAATAAATATAAATTCGAATTAAAATCCATACACTTAATCAATTCAACTGAAATGAGATTTGAATCAACGATTTGATTCGAATTTGTAGATTGGAATCTAATTAATAATTATTATTGATATAATATATTGACTCAAATATTTTTATCAGTTATCGAATTACCGTTTTGATTTTTGAATCGATTAAAAAGAACTGGTATAATCTCAAACTGACAATTCGTATCAACGTATAACCCAGCTCGGGACAATACGTTGATATGAACATGTCAAGTCCGTTTGAGATAACGTATTATCTATGTATTATTTTCATTTAAGTATCATTCTCAATTAAGTATCAGTATTAATAAGCATTAAGTATCAATTCAGCTTTTTAAATTCCAGGTATCATTCTCACTGTTTTTATTTTAAGCAGATTACATAGCTTTTTAATAACTGAAGTCAGTTGTAAAGATTAGGGTTGGGAAAAAAAATTATCTGTCATTTTCTTCATTAAAGAACATACGAATTTATCATAAAAGAACTTCCATTTTTGAATAGAAATCTTTAAAAGAGTCTCGCACATTTAAGTAAAAGGGAACTAAATAAACACAACAAAGGATTGATACGTACAATATAAACATAATTAACGACCACTGGTCTCAAGCAAAGAATGTTTCTCCGTTTCTCTCATGGCAAAGAGTATCACAGTGTTTCTTTTCAGCAATTGATACAATGTAATGAATTATACAACCAGTAAATGTGACTTGCAACATTATAACTGCTTAACCAGCATAACACAAGTTTCAGAATTGACAAAAAATGATACTAAACATTGGAGGTGGGGGGGGGCGGGATTTAAGAAATTAGCTTATTCTAAATAATTAGTAGTTATTCTAAATATTTATGATTTTTTTTAAAAATTATATTCTCTTCAATTTAAATATCTATAAATTATATCATCGTAAATTTAAATGTCTATAAACAATTGCAAAATTTCTAATGTCATTATGAACCTAAATTATTATTTTGTTTCAGTAATTAGTGTTTAAGGTTGATGTTTCCTAATGATGAAGTATGAACAAATTGCTATTAACGACATATTTTAAAATCAGGGATTCTAAATTTAACTTAACTTATCGTTATAAAAGAATATGTAGATAAAAAAAGTGTCGATATATGCCTTCATTTTTCTTAATAGTTAAAGTTAAAACTGAACTTTTTAAAATAAAATATTTATCGTGTCATTTTCACCAACTAGCAAAACATTTTTATAAGTTTAAAATGGTATTTTTTTAATATAATAACCAAGAAAGTTTTTTTTGAACTATGTTTATGAACGGAAATAATGTGTTAATTACGTAAAGGTTGAAGGCTAATAACCAGAAAAAGTCTAACTTATTTTTACAAAGAGAAAGATGCAAAGTTATCATATCTTTGCTTGCGATCTCCGAGATCTGTGGACACAGTGACGTCATGAGGAGGGAAATCGTAGCATCAGCTCTAAGAGCGGAGTGAACTAGCCCTTGTATTCTCTTTAGCCCTGATATAAACAAGAACCTTCCACACAAAATAAATTTTTTGTTTATCGAAGTGTTTTATTCGCGCCTTTTTGCTTTATTCATGTATCAGTATCATTTGAATTTTATTTAAAATCTCTAGAGAAAGTCTTGCAGTTTGAAATGCGTCAAATCACATTTACTTCACAACACATCTGAACAATCAATTTCATCAATCAACATTTTTCTCCAACATTCTGAATGACTAATTTTTGATAAAGTTAGGACCCTTATACCAATTTACCGACAGAATATTTTATATAAATGTAGTAGCCAATTCTGTTTGCATAGGGGATAGGGTATTTTGCATAGATAATAATATTAAGAAACATTTAACTCTAAACATTTTGTTCGTTACATAACAGCATTTAAACTGAGATAATGCACACCAGAGGGCGTTATCTAACTTGTGCAATTCTGATTGTCCATGAGTTTCAAATCATGTTCGTGTAAAAGCAATTATCCAACAATAAAATGATTCAATATAAACTAAATGGGCTTCTTTTTTAAAACAAAACAAAAAAATTTATGAATGAATCAAAAATATTTTATGAAATAAAATAATGCAAAATATCGTAACAATTTGTTCAAGGCATCTTTGGAAGAAATTTTGCAGCAATTTAAAAACGTTTTAGAATTTTTGATCTAATTTTGTTAATTGAAACCTATTGTTTACAAAGTTAATGGTTACTAAGTCTCTGATAAATTAAAATGTAAAATTTAATTTACATTTACTTTTTGATCCATTGTTGTATTAGATTCAAAAATCTAAGTATACCTCCTTCGCCCTTTATTTAAACGTTTCCACATGCACAAATTTTAATTCATTCATAATTTATATCCGTTGAATTCATAAAATAATTTTCGCAAGTTGAATTGATTTAATTTATAGTCAGAATTTTTATTAAACATTTAAAAAGCACGCAATTTTAAAAAAAATAACAATAATAAGTTATATTAATTTATTATATTAAATAACTATAAATATTGATCAGACTAGATAGATATCTATTTTAAATAAGAATTTAAAAAAAATTATAATCTTGCTTTCAAATTAGAAAATTGCACTGAAGTACAATGCATCGCAATTAAAATATGCAACTATAAATAAAATTTCTCTTAAATAAAAAATACTTCTTATAATTTAGACTATCTTAAAATGGCATTCATAAATAAAATATATTTGATATAAATCAAGACACTTTACATATATTAAATTATAATTTTAAAATTGCTACATTTTTAAACGAAGAATTGAGCAAAGAAATGGAGCATTTTTTGTTTTGATTGCTATAATTATCTCAATCTGTCAAATAAACAACATTCAACTCTTTAATCTGATTTTAAAGAATGCACTCTGGTCGTTGTTAGCTTTCAAACAATTTAATACCTTTTGATAACTTTGTATGCATTTTATGACACAAATTGGCGTATCTGATTTCTGAAAACCAGAGTAAATTTTAAAATATATATTAGCCAAATATATTACAGATATATTACAAAAAAATGAAGTTTCATGGCTTCAAACCTCATTTATTTATCAGTATAAAACTCTTAAAAACGAAGACCTATATGTCAGTTGGTCCGATATATTATTTATAAATGTACATATTTAAAACATTGCTAGATTCTTAATTTTAATATATAGCTCAGATAATTAACTAGCACTCTAGACAAATGATAAATTTATGCAATTAAAATGTACACCATAATTGAGATCAGTCTTAGCCTATATTCTTAAAAGTATTTAAGAACAATAAAATAAAAATATTAGTAAATAAAAATTGTATTACTCTGTTGCATAATATGAAATAGCAATTATAAATAGAAATGATGCCACATTTTGGCAATGTAAGTAATAGTAACATGCATAATTATACTATTTTTTTTATCCATGAAACAGTATTCTTTGCATTCTAAAATGTTCAGTGTTTTATTTTTAAAGAATAAAACCTGTTAACGATGTTTGATTCGAGAATATGCTTGCAATTTAAATATAAAATCAAAATAACTTATTAGTTTAAATAGCTTTGCAACGAGAATAAAAATTACTATCGTACGATAGCGATACAATTTTGATTAATAAGCCTATTTATGATATTTCTTTAGGCATTTTAGAGAAATTCTGAACAAATAATTAGCAAAATTATGAAGCTATTTAATCTTTATATCATGAGCTCTTATGGAAAAATATATATTGCATCGGGTAAAGTCTACAGTTATATGATTGAGATTTGTTATAGAGTACATTTTCATACACACTGTATTTTCATACACACTGTAACTCATTTTTCTTCCTATAGCTTATAGTGGCAAGTCTGAACAAATAAGTGGCAACTTATAACAGCTTAATATTTATATCATGCAAACATATTAAAGTAAGTGACTTTAATTAAGTGATTTACTGTTTAATTTTTACTCATTTTTATATTTGTTTTCTCTGCCATTTTTAGTAGCGATTCTGAACAAATAAGTGGCAACTAATGGCAAAGATTAATGCTTGCATGTTTTTTAAAATATAGTCAAATAAATAGCAACTATGAAGTTGTTTAATTTTCACATCACCTTGGGGAAAATAAGTTTTTTTTTGAAAAAATTTATTCTTATTTAATAAACTTGCAACAGAGTATACAAAATAATTAAGATTATCTGTCCTGAAAAAAAAAAATTATTACATGATTAACTATATTACTTCACATTTTTTTTCTATTTAAAAATAATTTAATTCAATTTAAAATGCAATAAAAATCAGGATAAAAACTAAACAATGTTGTTTCATTCTTAAACTCCATAGAAAATACTATTCATTTGCATCAAACCAGGGAAGTAAAGAGAATAAAAAAATGACTAATAAGTTCATAAAGCACATAACAATTGAAGCAATACTCTATATACATGTTTTACAATTAACAGTCATAATCCATAATTCGAACCTTTTGTCATCTTTCTCCATTATGAGCACACAAACACATTAACCAATTAAATTGTCCAATTTTAACAAAATGTTTTGACATAGCTCGCACTTGGTCCCCGACATATCTGTCACCTGTTTTTGTTTATCATTTTATAAAACTTTAGACACTTTAATGCTCTCTCAAATAATGCATAATCTACTGAAGAAAAAAAATACTGAATATAGGTTTAATACCCAATTATTTTTTTTCAGAATTTGCTAAATTAAGAATTGAATTATAAATCAAATTCATTAAGTATGAAAGTCTTAATCACTGAATAGAGCTGGACGATATCAGAATTTGACTATCAATATTTCACAATTGTTTACGATATTTTATTTAATTAATATAATATATATGTTCAGGAATATTAATAATTTCACTTGTATTGATGTACAAAATGTGCCCAAGTTTAAAGTTAGCTAACTTTTACATACAGAATTACGAAAGAGAAACAGGCGATGAAATATTAACAGAACAGAATTACGATAATAGATATGATTTTCCATCAATGAGAAATTATAATTTTATAAACATTTATACTAGGGCTTTACTTTTCATAAGAAATGAATTATAAACTGAAGTTATTTGAATCCAGTCTATAATTTTTCATATTTGCTGACAGTTCATACTTAATGATTTACTATAAACTTGGTAAAGATATTACCCAAATAATTACAAAAAATAATTAATAATTATTTTGGTAAATAAAAATTAATTAATAATTTTCAAAACATATTTAAATAATAATGAACTTAATTCTCAAGGAAATACAAATGGCGAAAATATTAATATAATAATTATAAATTATACGATAATAATATTTATAAATTACATATTGCAATTTTTCTCTCTTCAATAATCAATTGCAAATTTTTAAAAAAAGGTACTCAATAAATAATAAATAAATAAATAACAATGTAAAAGCAATGCTTTATATTGATTAAAGGTCCAAAACATTCTTTTTTTAGTGTGTATTGTGTGCCTTAAAGCAGAAGAGGAGAAAGAGGGGAAGGGCAGTTGCAGTTAAGGAATGATTGATGTTCAGGAAGATTCTAAGGACGCCAAAAGGCTGTGATAAACAACTGAGTCTAGGATGGGAACTCTTGGAGGAAAAGAAACCTCCCCGACCCCCAAATCTCGATTAGTTCTATATTGCATTGCACACTGGCTGCCACTGCTGGAGAGGGGCGCTCGTCTGTTGCTGTGGGGCGGCGACGTCACTGTTGTTGCCTGGGGGTAGGAAGGAGGCGTCGTCGCGGTGCCAACTGTTTGAGAATTGTTTTGCGTTGATTGGAAAGAGCCACGATTTGTATCACAGCAAGAGTTTGTTGAATCACTAGCCGATGAGGAGTCTCTAGGTTCGGTCCTGCGGTTCTCAGAGCTAGTTGGAATCGGGCTGGACACACGTCTGTCAGGAATGGGCACACGTAAAAAGTCATCGTTGATACCAAACATCTCATCACACGAGCTATCATCATGGAAATCGGCACTGTTTGAGTTGCTTGGCGCTGAGTTTTGTTTGGCGTTACTGTTATACGTATTAGTGTTACTGCCATTGCTGAAGTCGATTGTGAAGCAATCAGAAATGGCGTTATTGTCTTCGTTTTGAGTACTAGCAAATGGAGAGTATCGTTCAGAGAAAAAGTCTATTCTTTGTTGTCTTTGCCGCAACTTGGCTTGCCTTTCATTCCTGATGTCCAGGTGCAATTTCTTGATGGTGTTGTTGATGAGAACCGATCTGAGGAGACAAAGCTCAGGATCTTCAATGTCTGCCAGTTTGTTGATGGACATTTTGAGTACTTTCTTCCGCTCGTCCTTCCATCTTTGCCGTGAGTTCCACATTTGAGGACCCCGTCGACGTGGCAGGTAGTCCTCGTCGTCCACAGACATTTCATCGTCTTGACCACCTTCTGACGATGATGAAGATGATGAGCTGCTACTGGACTGCAAGGAAGAAGGTTCGAACTGGGAAGATGGAACCGGAGAGACATCATTGGAACTAGATGAAGATGACACTATTTCAGACTGAATGGGTGATACCTCGTCGGTAACAGTCACTCGGAGCTTTTTAGAAGGTTGTTGCTCGGTTTCAACATCTGAAGACTTCCTTTTTAAATCATTGGAACCTACAAAAAAAATACGACCATTAGAGCTTTGTTTAATTTGAAAATACATTTTATAACTTCTGAAAAAGGTTTAACAGGAGAGTTAGAATATGAAAGTTCGCACAAACGAGGTTTGGGGAGATTCTAGCATTCAGTTTTGTGAATTCAGTTTTGTGTTACTTAACATTTTACTACGTTAAGAACTGAAATTTAAAAAGGATATATCTCGTCATGTTTCGAAAGAATCGAGCCATTCAGTAAACATGGATAATGTGTGAGCAAACTTCGTCCTAATGACAATAAAATGCTAAAAGTAATGAAATTGTTTGTTCTTTTATGCAAAGTTATATTAATATTCGATGAGACACATTACTGTAACTATGGCTTGCTAATCAATAAAACAATGCATCACACTCTTTTAAATATTCCTGACAAAAACAACTGTAAATATACACTAACTTCATAAAAAATGTATAAGTCTATAACCAAAATATTCAACGAAGATTTTTAAAAACTAACACTTTAAAAAAATTTTTTGATGATAGTTCAAATACAGAACATTTTAAAAGTAGATAATATTCTTTATTGAAAAATAACTTAAGAAAATATAAATTTACAAGATTTAACTGAGTTTTATGAAAATTTAGCACACCAGTTACAATAACATTTTAACGATGAAGGCTTTTTAAAATTAATTTAGAATCTTTATATGTATAGAATTGATTAATAAAAACTAAAAGACTATAAAAATGTTAGCGAAAAAAATGACCGTTTATGGAATATTACTTAACAATAAAATTTTTGTAAGTAAGATAATTTTTCCAACACTTTTAAATCATTTCATGATGTTAAGAACTGGAATTAATGCTATTTGAAAAAATTGTTAAAGTACGATTATTATATTTTTCAAAACTTATTTAACAATTTAAGAAAACGAGGTAATTGTCTCTAAAAATTTGATAGCGAGACCACAGATTTGTAATGCAAATCTGCAGCTGGAATTTAACATTTTAAAAACAATGCAATGACCATTCAAAAATTTCTCTGAAATTTTTCTGTTAGAATTTAACATTTTAAAAATATGATATTTCAACATTTTGTAGCAAGAACAAAAATATTTTTGCAAATCAACTGGAATAAAATCTGCATTAATAAATAATACGACACTTAATATGGATTGGATTCTTTGGTGCAGATTCAAATTAGGCTTAACGCTTAAAACATACTTTTGATAAAAACACGAACACGTTCTTTACACTTTGGAATGAAGCTAATCATTTGCTTTTCAAAAACTTGACACTATCCTAGATGGAACGATTTTTAATGTTCGACACTAACAAACTATCGTTTTCACTAGTATGGTTTTAATCACTAATTTGATGACAGCAGCAAGAGCATGACACCTAAAGGGCAAGTGAGAAGAAACGGGGACAATGTCAACTTCAGCAAAGTGGGTTTCGTTCGGAATCAGGGCATTGTGTCAAACGACTTTTTGAATGGGGTCGACTAGGAAGGTGAAGCTAGGCAACCTCACGTTCCTCCTCTTCTACCTTTGGTGATAGCGGATTTACGGTGAAAACGAAAGCAGGAAAATTCTTGTGTAAGTAAAATAAACACAGTTGCGGTTAACGCCTCCCTTAAATAACAGCTAATTGCACCTTCACTCAAGTGGAAAGCAATGCATTTCGGAGATTTATTAGAGCCACATAAAAACGTCTCGTTCGGAAAATGACATTATCTCACTTGTTCTAGTTTAATCTTCAAACTTAAATATTTTAGCCCAAACTGCAGAAATAAATCATAATGCACCTGTAAATAGAACACGAATGAGTAATGTAAGGATGGATGAGTTATTAAAGATTAATCTTTAATTATGTTCTAGAATTTAGGGTTATATTTTTGTCTGACATACCTTCAGAGTTTTATTATTATTATTATCCCAACCCACCCCCTTTTTAAAATGCTGATAACGTTGAACGTATTTTTGAAGTGAAACCGTTGTTTCATGAAGAATATTTACGGTAAAATTGTGGAAGAACTCCAACATAACTAGAGCAAGTTCAGTTATGGTTATTGTTTTCAACCGAAAAGAACGAAGATAAACATGAGTTAGGTTTAAGCCCAAAATCACTCTATATACTTACAACAGTATGCTTTTTTAAAAATAAAAAAAATTTTAAAAAAATCCACCGCATGTACAAGGAGTTATCAAAGAAGAAATTGCCCCATTTTATAGAAGAAAATAGCCTATCAGTACCACTGCCTTCTTCTGAAAATAACAATTACTTCCGTTCTATCGAGAAAAATGATACATAATAATATCATTGCCGTGATATAAAAAGGAAAAAAAATTTCTAATCCAATTAAAGGAGGAAAATAACACTTAAAAATATCAGTGGTTTTTGTCTTAAAACTAGAAATACAATCACAATTATAATTATTAACATTACCAAAAGACGACAAACTAAAGACTTAACTTATCACTCTCAGTGAATAAAGAAATAAAAAAAAAATCCAATTACAATTCAAAATCGTGTAAAAGAACTAACTACAAACACGTCATTAAAATAAAATTTTTAAAAAGACAACTTTTATGTTATTAATGCTGAACAAAAGCAGAAAGCGTAAATAAAACAGATTTACGCTTATATCAATAAATCTTTTGTTTGAGAAAATAAACAAAACAAAAAAATAGCTTTTTTTTTCCCCTTTTTGTTTTTGGCCCTTCTCCCTTATTATTTTTTAAACTTTCCATTGTTTTTGTTTTTCTTCCACTCAAATTGCAACAATCTACAAATTAAACTAAATTTGTGTGTTGGGTCAACACTGAAAAATTCACACTTTGCTTAAAGTAATCACAGGCAATCAATAAAAAAAAGTCTTTTATAATTTTATGTTTCATTTTTTTGCACTACCTATTTTTTCGTTTTATCCCACTTTCCACTTATTTTTATTTACATTTGCCATTTGCATCGTTAACCTAAAAAAAAAATTAATAATAATAAATAAATCAGTCCACAACTATACGTGTGAGCTTTACTTCTAAAACCACAGAAAAATTCACGTTTTTGGTTTACATAAAATAAAGCAGTAATATAGGGCAATCAATGAAAAAAGAAAAAAACTATGTCCTATACTTTTTTTAACTTATACTTTCACTTTCCAATGTTTCCGTTCTTTTCTTTAAAAAAAATTTCACTTACAAATCAAACTAAATCTGTGAAAAGCTCATCTGTATTTCAATTAAACAGGTATCATACTTTTCATAACAGGTATCATAATACTTTTCGTTACAAAACACAGCAATAATAATTTCTAAATTATATTGTTACTATAATGAATTACTAACAAATATCAAAGCGATTATAATCATATGTATCTCTCGCACGTGGCACCATAGACTCGAGTATTTATTTTTCAATTGGCAACACTCTAGTTATTATTCATTTTGTTTCACGTAATAAATTTTGATTCACGATGTTCGAAGGTGGCTAATATCATTTATTCCCCTATACGCATTCAAAAGAAAAAAAGATTCAAATAAAAATAATTTAAATAATTCTCAGGCGGCGATAAGCAATAAATTGGTTTACGTTCAACACGTGCAGACCTTTATTGCATAACAACACAAAAAAAAAATGTCAAAGCGTGGGAGATAAGCTTTAAATCCTCTACAGTCAGCTGAGAACTTACAGTCGTCCTTTACGCAGCTCCAGTGACGTCAAACTATCAAGGCAGGATCCCGGTGTGACGTCGATATCATAAACATGTCGTCACATCTCTCAACTGTGTCGGAGTTAAAATGGAGGACAGTTAAACGTGCGAATGTGCATACATACGTGCGATTATTTTGACAATTGAGCCGAGACTTAGAATAAACAAAACACAATAGCATTGAATAGAATATTCAAATGGCTCAAATGAAAATTACTGTAAAAACATATCTGGATTTATTTCACACGATATGTAAATTATTACAGTTATGCTGCACTACACAAATAGTGTAAAATGGTGCAAAAAAAAAAACTATCATTTGAACTTTTAAAAAAAGAGCCAGAAAAATAGGGATGCGAGACATTAATTTTAACACCATCTTGCAGATAATTCCACACTGCCCGAAAAACACGCAAAACAAAACATGCAATTAAATCATGCAAATAAAAGGGTACCTAATTCAAGAAAATTCACAATTAGTTAACGTCATTTAAATTTAATGCAACTATTCACCTGTGAGTGAAAGGGTTATACGCGGATCTTCAAAATGCAAGTTATGTTTTTGCTTTTTAATTGTATTAATTATGTCATTAACTATAAGGAACATCTAATAAATTTACGATACCCAAGTAATATATACATTAAATTCGACACTAACAAATAGCTACAAATTTACTTAAGAAATCAAAATACTTATACATACTAAGTTTGTATACCTAATGTAAAACTATAACAGTTATAGATATTGAAACAACTCCTAATTCTTAGTTCAATTTGAGTACGAGCCCTTCCCTTTAAAAAATCGATTAAGTTTTTTTTTATTTCCCCTTTCAGAGCAAGTACAATTACTATTGCGTGAACAAGGTTCTCTTTATTTTATCTATTTACAAGATGATTATATTGTGTATCCAGTTAAATTGTGAACACTTTTGTGCACGCATTTAATTTAATGCTTACAATTCAAAGTTTCACGTTTAAATTAATATAAAATTATTATTAACAATCAATAAAATATTTTAACACCTCGTACAACGTGTCATTTTTATTAAATACTTCTGATAGAATATAATATATGTTCACAAATTATTTCAACCCTTTAAGCATGTTAAGAAAGAAATGTTTTATCAATATAATATGTCTTTATATAGTACTTATATTCTAACACTTCATTAAAACAAATTAGCATTTATCCTTAGCATTTAAGGATAAAATTTCACCCGATTTACAAAATGATTTCAAATTATATTATTACTTAAAAATATTACTAATTTATATAAAATAATTGAAATTATAAAGCTAAAAATGAGAAAAAGTGTGTACAGTGTTTTTAAAACTGCTTTATATATTTTAATTTCGGCGAAAAAAATTTATCATACGAAAAATACGAACAGAAATTATTAAATCAAAAATATAATAATATAAGAAACGCAGACATTTAGTTACTTTCTTCGCAATTTAGACAACTCGTTCTGCAAATTTTAGCATTTTTATTTTATTAAATGTCCAATACATTAAAAAGAAAGAGAAATGAAGAAAAAAAAGACAGAGATTCAAATTCTATAAATAAATTAAAAACAAAAAAGCATAAAATAGTCACACAAAAAATACAAACACAACGAAAACATATAACTAGTTCAGTATTCACTTTATAAATATGAGTGCCAAACCAAGTAAAGTACCAATCAAATTAATAAATACTGACTTTTTCCTACCAGTTACATAATTAAAAGAAAGAAATACTGAAACTAAATGTAATAAAAAAGAATAAAATTAAAAATATTTCGAATAATGAAAAAAAAGAAGAAAGAAAATGGAAACTAGGAAAGGGGAAATGCAGGAAGCAAACGATTGTGAAAGGGAGTTGCATTGTAAATTCCCAACAAATTACAGATCAGCGACCTTGAAATGACCTAGATTCAGGTAGAAAAAATACATGGATTACACGGAACGACCTTATTCTTTGTCTTGAAGATGTATTCAAGCGGTTCGGAACGCTGGCTACTTGATAAATAAGTCATGAACGGTATTGAACCAGAGAAAGCAACTTACTTAATCTCATTTTCTTTATTATTTATTGAATGGTATTACTTTTTACTTCATTATAAACTATGTACCTACTTTTCTAGGTATCCATGACCTCTAATTCATAATATAACGCACTTCAAATATGACTTAAAATGTATAGCCGGACCATTAACAAACAGGAACTATAAAATTGAATCCTACCTAAATACTCTGAAGGGATTCTAGATGCGCGTTGCGAAAGTATATATATTTCATGAAAATATATGAATGTTAATATATATATTTGACAAAAAAATATAAAATTGTACTCTAATTAAATATTCCACATTCAGGCACAATTTTATAGGAAATGTAAAATTGCATCCTAATTCAACTAAGTTTGCCAATTTGTTGTAAGCATAAATTTATTCTGAAAATAGAACAAATTAAAATAAGTCAACATTTCACTGTCATTTCTTTTCTAAATTAGGGACTAAATCAGCGAACTCATTAGTATCAAATTGCCGCAATATTTTGAACACTATTTGCAAGCCTTACACAATGTATACAAATGTATAAGAACAAAGTAAATTCTTACAGATTATCGATAACGCAATTAAATCTTAAAATATCATCAACGAGAAACCTGCTTCTAACACTTCTGCGCAAAAAAGCATTTAAAACTGATGTTTATAGCGTATAACCTACACAAACATGAATATAATACATATTTAAATGGTTACACCAATAAGATTCTCTCTAGCGTTACTAAAAGCAGACAATCAAAATATTAAAACTCTGAAGCAAAAATTTTGGTCAAATGTGTCGTATTATCAATTTTTAATAAAATTAACTTCAATTTTATATAGCGATGAAAAATAAACGCAAATAAGACATATCATATGTAAATCTATCAACGTTAACTTTTCCGTCTGCTGTCAAAGCATCTTCAAGCGCTTCCTACCTCTCTCGGAAGTAGTGACACCTAGGGGCCAATAACTGTAATTTTTTTAAACTGCCCAACAAATTGCTCGAGCAAGATATGATCTGACTCCGGTTTTTACAGGAAAGGATTCTTATCTTTTAATGTTATATTTCATAACAATAATCATTATTTCTGAAATGTTTTACAGATGAAGAAAAAGAATAAAAAATTAATGATGTAAAATTTTCTCTACCAAGTGTTACAATGGCAATTTAAAGGTTTTCATTAAACACAATTTTGACAACAAACAACTTTATTCAACAACAATCGATTTAAACAATTTTAAAAAAGAAATAGAACCACAATATGATTGCTTAAGTTTGAAGCAAACACAAACTGTAAAAATAGCTGAAAAATATTAAATGCGTGTTAAAACTATTCAATATGGAAAACCAAATACCCTTAATATAAAATGTGAATAAATATAACATTAACAAATTACACGTTATTAGTATTAATGCACCAAAATTGAAACAAAACCATTAACTAAAAATTTCCAATCATCAAAAAATAAATTGATGATTAATTAAGCAAAAAAAGAAATTATCGACCTAAGTTATACATATAAAATAAAAATAATTAAAACAAAAAAATCCTGACCTTCATTTTATTCATGAATTACTAAAATTATGTTAAAACTTCTAGCACCCTGTTATGCATGGAAAAAGGAATTAAAAAAAGAGAACGAAAATCAATACGGGAGTTAAATATGGACGCGCTCCCCCAACTTATGACATGACAGAAGGTAGGAAGGGAGAATGGATCTGATTTGACAAGCTCAAGAAACGTGATGAATCGCGAGTAACTCAGTGACTCTGAAAGGAAAACAAATAACGGAAATAAGTGAATTGAAAAAACTTTTCTGAGTGTGTCGCGCAAGAAGGATCCCCGCCCCCTATAAGACACGTACAAAACAAAAAGGTTAACATTATAGAAAGCTTCATTACACGAGCAAATTATAAGATAGTTAAATGTATTAAATTACTAATAGAATCAGGGTTGACATTTCCGCATACGACTTTTAAATAAGTGACAATTTGAAATACTTTAACTTCCATTACAATTGATATGATCAACTACTAATATTTATTATTTTGACAACTCTTTCTAACTCGATGTTTTATTTTTAAAAAAAAATCTGGATGTTTGCATTTCAGAGCACAATAACTGAAATTCACAAAAAATATAACATTTTACGTTAATGTAATTAACTCAACAATTGAAATCAGAAATTTTTTAATTACTATTACAGTTAAAATTACTAACTGAAAAAAAATATACTTCAGTAATAATTTGCAATTAATTATAACAACGATTGTGAACAATTATAAAATAAATTTTACTAATGCACGAAACTAAAATGTTTCATTAAAACTACAGTATGTATTTTATATACAACTTTTAACATATTACCAAACGCATTACGAAATTTTTAGATAACTATTACATTATAATATGTATTGAATAGTTAAAGTAGTTATAATAATTACATAAAATAATCAATTGAACTATTATTTGCTCATTTGATTATATTATTGAAAATTTTTATTAAAAAATATTTATAATCAAAGCTACACAAAATAGTTACATAAGTTTATACAATAAACAGCAATGTCTACATTTAAAATAATTAATAAAGGTACAATCGAGATTTAAACATATATTAAAACAAAACTTTTACTAAAAAAAACAATAGAAATATTTCTCAAAAAAATGCATGAATAAATTCTCAATTAAATATTAAAAATGTGTAAAATAATTACTAACACCCTTATTAATAAAGCGCAGCAATAAAGAAATACATTATAAAACAATTAAAACATTATTAGCTTTGATTGATTTGTTAAAAATCAATTAAGAAAAGAGCTACTCCATTAAATAAAAGGTAAATAATCAACTCAATGGAAAAGAAATAATGTTTTAGAAACTCACCAGATGGCGTTTTGATAGGTGAATCTGCCGATGGCATATCATAATCAGTAATATCCGATGTCCAATCTGTCATCAAAGCAGATTCCAAGTCCCGATCAAATGCTTCGCTATCGAACACACAGGGCATGTTGGAATTTGGATTACTGTTTGACCCCGAAAATAAAGAATTGTTAGATATTTGATCACAGCCAAATGGCAACACCAAAGTCATCTTCGTATAATCTCATCGGGAAAAAATAACCAAAAAAATTTCTTCGCACCACACAGACGATAAATAAAAAAGTCAAACAATAAAAAAAAAATTGGTTAATCCACAAAAGCACTAGTTGCACCACTATTCTTGAAGTTAATCCAGTATGCACAATAAACACTTAAAATAAATAATAAGAAATAATAGCGCAAATATTTTTTTCGGTTTCCCAACTTCTCAAGTAGGGGGTGAAAAAAATCACACGAATAATCCAAGAGCGAAACGAATAACGATCCTCACACGAGTACGTCACAAACTAAACTGACGACGGCCTTCCTGCAGTCGCACGAGCAGAGCAGCTGGTCGAGTACAATTACTTGCGTAGGAGCTCCTGCGCAAGTAACTGTAAAGGAGCGCCATCTAGTAGACACTTTAATCTAAACTACAGGTTGCTGGGTGTTTAGTTGGCTAATGGTCGGTGATTTATTTGTTTTTTCTACTCGGACGGCTGCATGCAACACAGATGAAGTATTTCGTCCAATAAACGAACAACTGATTAAGCAACAAACGTTTTTTTTCTCTTCTCGAACTTTTTGCGCAAGTAAAGTTAGACGCACTTTTAGTGCCTCTCTCCCTTTGTTAAAATTTACATTTAGAACGGGCGGAAAGGCTGCAAACGATTTCTTTATTCTAAACATAAATAAAAATTATACTTATAAAATTCTTGTAAAACATTTATTTGAAACAAATGGCAATAACTAAAGGAAACCTGCAGTTTCGAACTTTATACGAATTAAATTATTGCGTGTCCCAATACCTCTTGGTCTTTGTAGTAATTTATTACCTTTTTTTACGTTCTATAATTTGTAAAACTATTTCATCATTGTTTGAGTTTTTTGCTTAATTTAATTTAAATTTTGGATAAATATTCCATTATTGTTCAATTTTCTTATTGTATTAATATATTGTTTTAATTGCCCATGAAAGTTTATTCTTTGTATTAACTTCCTGAAAAATAGATTTTTCTATGATGACTGTATTTATTTAAGGATCAAGCGACTATTTCTATTTTAAGTAATACGAATTATCTGTGCGAGTCATAACTCAGATTTGTTCCGACAAGTGTGCAGATTTAAAGAAAAATTCTAAAGACGTTAACTATATGACTACGTACAATTTTATAAATTAGTGAATTATTTTAAGTCGAAAAACTATATTAATTTGAAACACTCTCTTAAAGCCACTGAAATTAAATCACTTATCATTCATTTTTCCTCATTTGACTATAATATTGTTCAAGATTCAATCGACAATGCTATCTTACAAAATTTACTCTACGCAACGTGATGAAAGTATTTTAAAAATTATTTTCACAAAATATATTCACATACCATGTCTTAAGATAAATAGTGAATCTATGATTATTAACGGCAACGTTAATGTCGCTATCATTATCGACATAGATAATTATAGAATACGATAATATCTGAAGCATTATCGATTACGACATAATCATGAGTTATGATGAATTTCATTCGAATTTCTGGTTCTAACAGTTGTAAAAATAAAGTTAAATTAGAAAAATATAGTGAACTATTGTTATTCCTTTTAAATTCTGATATCACTATAAGAACTTCATAAAAAAACTGTTATTCTGCCTATATTTTCTTTTAATTAAACACGTGTTTTCTTGATTTAGAGCAACCCTAACCCTGTGACCTTGTACATTAGTAGACAAGACTTGTAGTTGTATCCATTTTATCTTTACTTGTCCGAACACAATGGAATTTCAGTCCCTTCTTGCTCAAAATGGAACAAGTTGTCAGGAATTTGAAGCTTTCCCCGGGTGAGTGAAGGCCATTCAGGTATCTTCCCACGAAAAATAGGAGGAAGTAATGGAATGCAGCACACCTGCATGAATATACAAGAACGAGACCGTTTTGGTTTTACTTTCGCTGGTGTGAAGAAGTTCCCTGGCTTTCTTCCTTTTATCTGTCTTTTCCCTTCTGTCGCCAAATACACCAGAAAAGCAATCATCCGTCACGATTTCAACCTAAAATAGAGCAATGCGATGCAATAAAATGTCTGTGGAATTATTAAAGAACATACGAATGAAAAATACATAATAATTGCATATTTGTTTAAAAAATGTATAGTGCGAAACGGACCACCCTGAATAACTTTCGATATAATGACCGGATCTTCACTTTCTAGGACTCCATCTCAGTGATTCAAGGTAATGACCTCAAATATTTTAATTAGTGCAGACGATATTTTAAGTTAAGAAATCAAGCGCAAAAACTTACATTCTCTGAATAAACATATATTTTTACAGACGTCTTCGTATTTTTAACCCCAAAATAACCGCAATCTGGGAAATAGGGTACCAATAGTTTGATCAGGAGAGCAGTCCAAAGTTTGGATCCCTTAATCTTCATTTTATTTTTTACGTATCTTTAGAACTTTTTAAATCTTTAATAATCTTTAGAACTTTAAAAATCTTTAGAACTTTTTAAGCGAATTGAAAAATTTTTGATGACAATTATAAATATATATATATTTTTTTTTTTTATCTTATGATAATTCCATGGAAAAAGTAACTTTTAGTAAATATTTATTGTTATTTTATTTAATGATAGTGGAAAAAAAATTTTTACATTATTTTTAAAGAATGTAGTTTTACAAAAAGAATACATTATTTTAGCGGAATAGGTAAAATAGTCCCTGAGACATTGAATTTTAAAAATACTTTTGCACTCTTTAAAATGTTGTAAAAAAGTATATCTTACAATTCAAATTTTTTTTTGACTATTATTAAATGAGTCCTAGAACGTGAAGATCCGGTTATCATTAGATTATTAAAAGTTATTCAGGGTAGTCCATTTTTTTAAAATTTTTTTATTTATTTATTTTGTGCTCTGTACATACGAAAAAAGTGCATGAAAAATACATTTAGGAGTATCGAATAGGAAATATATATAAGTTTGACGATAACTTGAAATTTCGTTTTAAAGCCGTTTGCTATTTATGGCCACGATAACCTTTTAAATGAGCACCCGATTTACTTAAAAGTATAACAGAATATGCATAAAGTTATTGCTGCTAGTAGAATTTTTATGTTGAAATTATATTGACGGAATAAACTAATCGAACGACAAACGGAATGTAAATCATGTTGATGATATTTAAATCATATTAATGACATGTTAGAATGGAAGAAATTGTATCTCTATCTTATATGTTCTTGCAGCTTATACGCAGTAAATAAAACTTATTATTTTTCTTAATTTCCTTCGTTTTTCTCTCTTTAGGCAAGTTTTAGGGCAGAAAAAGAAATAAAATTAAAACCTATTTCCCCGTTGCAGTTGACTTCCGTTTTCAAAAACCATTTCAAAAGGCCTCCTAAATTTGATCAAATATCGAAGAAAACGGACAACATCAAGAAGAAAATCAGATCCAAATATTATTTTTAACTTCGAAGCAATTAATACAAATGCAATAAAAAAAGAAAAACTGTGAGTTTAATTTAGATGCGAATATTATGTTCCGCCATTTTCTCTCACCTGCTCGAAAAGCATCACTTAATCTCGAGTTCACCAAATAACCCATTCATCCCACATTTTCTAAGCAAACCCAGAAAGCGGAATGATTAAATGAGGTCACCTTTGCCTAAAGGAAGAGGCTAAAAGATTTCGAAAGAAGAAAAAGAAAACCGAATCAAGAGGAAGGGGTGAAAAATATATAATTGTACATACTACAGTTTAAAAAGTTGCCCTTGGTATATTGAAATATGCACACCTTTAATACTTTACACTTAGATGCATAATAATCTGATTGATTACAATGAATTTGATGTAAATGTAATCGATGTTCAGTAATAATGCTAAAATGAAAGCTCAACTTTTAAGGTTGTTTTTCGAAGCCTCTGTTGTAATATGAAATAATGCTTTTCTGCGACTAATGTGCTATTTTTATAATTGATGCGAGTTTACAACTGTTACTGTTGAGTTTGCAACTGTTACTGTTAGGTCAAGTTTAGCCTATTTAAAGTCAGAGCTGTCTACGATTATTTTAAAAATGGCACAAAACGTCAATATGGAGAAAAGCCACAGTTTTGTGAAAATGGAAAGTGTTTGTCGTTCAATTTTTCAATATTTAAAAACCTTCTCCAATACTGCATTACCTGGGCTCATAAAAGTTTGCAAACATTGAAAATACGGCAGTGATTTTAATAATTTTCATCTAGATGGACAAATTTAATAAATCTATAATAATTTTCTAATAAATCTATTAAATTTAAACTTGGTAATTAGTTCAAGTACAGCATGTTGCTTAAATTCATTCTAGCTCTAAAATATTGGTTTATTTTATATATTTTTTCGATCAGAAAAAATCTTTTTTCTATATTAAAAGGTTATTATAATTTTTTTTAGTTAAAAATTTTTTTTATTTTTCAATTTTTTTGAGCTAGTATGGTTTGAAAACGAGCATGTTTGACCATATTTGAGTGACTATTAAAAGTTATTTCAAGTTATCAGCCTTATTTTTATACTTTTTATCATGCGCACAAGATATTTTTTTTTCTTCAAATTTTAGCTCGGAAGAAAATTAAATTATAAAAGTTCATAGCCTTATCACAAAAGTGTTTGCATTTAAATAATGCATGTGCTTTTATCAAACTATTGAAAAAGTTAGAGTCCCAAGTTCAACTTTAGATAAATTTTAGAAAGTTTTAAAAAAAAAATTTCTTTTAAAAACCAGCCTAGACTCCTTCCTTCAAGCGGAAAAATATATATTTCAAAATGAGAAAATATCTATTTTGTTGTGGGAAATTATGAAAAACATTCGTTTCAGAATGGAAAAACAGACATTCTTAATTTGAACTATAATTTGCAAATTATAAATTATTGCTTTACGTCACTTATGCTATTGCACGCAAATGTGGTAAATTGATTTTGAATTCATTCTCAATGTAAAAATATCGGTTTCTTTGAAGAAAAAAAAAATTATTTTATAGTGGAAAAATATTTATTTTTTAGTTAAACTTGATAAATATCTACTAGAAAATATCCGTTTTACAATGGGAAATTTTTCGTTTTACAGAAAGGAGGGGATACTTACAAAAGAGTTCGAATTACAAATTTGTGATGAATAAATTATTGCCATACGACATGCGAATGTGGCAAATTGAAATTGCTTTTCAATTTATTCTCAATATCCGTTATATAGGGAAAAGTATTTATTTTGCTGCAAAATTTGAAAAATATCTGTTTTGTAGTGGTAAAATATCCGATACCGTTATGCTGTAACAATAGAAGTATTTTACACGCAGTTTGAACTGTTGATTTAGCATGAAGCAGGTGTTATATCTGTTCCGACACTCATGCTCTGTTTTGCGAGATGATGATGAATTGAAACTGTTGATGATTTCATTGTCAAATTGAAAGAAACGTATCCATTTTATAAAGGAAAAATATCAATTTTTTTAATACAAAAGTAACTATCTTATAGTAAGAAAATATCCATTTTATAGTAAGAAAATATCCATTTTATAGTAAGAAAATATCCATTTTATAGTGGAAAAATATCCTTTTTTTAATATGAAAATAACCATTTTGTTAAAAATGATTAAGGTTTCTTTATTAAGGTGGCTAGAACATGCATTTCGATAAAGCGATGAAAATCCTGTTCAAAAAATAACCTTCTAAACCCATGAGGGAAAAAGAAAAAGAGGAAGACCTAGAACAAGAGGGTTAGATAAAATAGAGAAGTGATTAAAGAATTTGAGAGTTAATAGATGGAAAAATATAGCATCAAATAGATCTAAATGGGGCAAACTGACTGAGACGGCTTCGGCCGGTAATCGGCTGTAGTGCCTAGGAAGAAGAATTATTTTGTTGTTAAAAAGTATCCATTTTAGTGCAAAAATAATGCCTACAGTATTATAGATTTACACGATTTATTGCTGTAAAACACTTTGTTGAATTTTGCCTTACGATGCTAAATGAAAATATCCAAAAAACGTCCGTTTTACGATGGAAAAAATATCCATTTTATAGTAAAACATGTAATTTATTCGCATCAGTTTTAAAGTAAAGAATTATTAATTCAAGTGATAAATTTTATCTCATGTCGTCATGTTCGCTTCTTTCCTATGTGAAAATATTTATTTTTACGTAAAATAAATTTGCTTACAGCAAAATAATTTATTTTATCACCCAAAATATTTTTTTAAATAAAAACAAAATGCTTTTATCAAATTGAATATGACTATAAAAAATACTAATATTTAATCTTTTACCCCTTCACGAAAGAAAAAAAAAATCAATAACTTCAGATACAAGAAGTAAGTAACAAAAATAGAAACAACAGGGTCACGAGGAGACACAAGGAATAAGTGCACAAGTCTGTTTAAATTACTCTAGTTGAAATGAAAAGAACATAATCAGACATAAAAAAGGTGACCTTGACTTTTTGAGATATGATAATAGCGAGAAATTTAACCTTATCTAAGCTGATTTCAAAATTCTACCCAGCTGGTGTGAGATTAGTCAAACAACTTGAAAAGAAGCTGTCAAATACGAAACAATTTCAATAATGAAGTAAAAATAACAATTATAATGTAATGGAATGTAGAAAAGGATTATATTTATAGGGCTGGAAATTTATCATACACTAGGAGGATCAGGTCACCAACGTGATTCCTTCTCATTTTTTTTTTTTTTTTTTTTAAGTTGGTTTCGTTCAAAAGAGAAAAAGCAAAGATCATTTTCTTAATAAAATATATTATTATTACCATTTGATGTAAGCACGTTTTGTAATTCGGTTAATAACGAAATTAAATGATTACCTGGATTAACAAAATAATCAACTGAACCGGGACAAAAAATTATAATTAGAAATACAGAATGTGACTCAATAGGAAATAAAAAGCAAAGAAAGAAACCTACTTATTAACGTATAAAACGATAAACTTGTCACTATATAAACTTTTATTTGTTGTTAGTTTTGACATTTACTCAAGCGTGAGTAAATAAACAAGAATAAATAATAATTTTCTACAAACATTTATTTATTTATTACGCAGTACTTACCTAAACACAAGAACCTATTTGTTTTTTTAGTTTTTATTATTTGTTGTTTTATTAACCATGCGATACCCAAATTTTTCACACTGTTCGTTTCGAACGTGCAAAAGATAACTAAACTTGTAAGTGTATTCGCATCATAAAGTACGAATTGAAAAGAGGAAATTTTCACGTTTAATTTATTTTGAACAAATTAGAACTTCAACACCATAATCATAAATAAAGAATTTTAACAGTCAAAAAATCTGGTTAACATAAGCATTAATAAAAAATTAGCCCAACGAGATCAAATAATAAGGAAAGCAGACGATCATTTTGGAACTTCTTGGAGTTGATAGTTTTCCATGACGAGTTTATTCTGAGGCTGAGATTTCTTTTTATTTCACATATTATTGATTTAAAGTATTTTTATGTTCTTTTTATGAAGAATATCTTATTCATAATTATTGTTTTGCAGTGATTTTAATATTAATATGAATGCTAAGAAGTAAAAGAATGTGGCGTCTTAAGAAACGTTCATGTGTTGGAGTAGAAAACCAAACCAGTCCATTGGACGAAAAGAGCCCATGGATGCAGTTTTTGCCACCCAGAACTTGAAATACTGTGGCGTTTATGAAAGTCTATACAGAAAATTAAATGACTCACAGGTAATCAGTGATCGCAATAATTTTCTCCCTCTTTTAATTACTTACCATATTCTTGCATTAACTTTTTGTGTGCCATTTTATTTTCTTCAGAAAATGAAGTTATTATTCATATTTAATCAACCTCGAAATAGGAGCAGGTATTTTAGAATGAGGTCTTAAAATATCCATTTTTGTGATGTTATTTTTCTAATATTCGAACGTCTGATGAACCGGAAACTTGCTGATATTTCAGAACTTGTGCTTCCATTCTTAAAATAGATAAAGCAATATCAATAAAAATCGTAAGATATTTGGCGAAAACAGTTTTAAAAGTGGAAAAACAGATACATTTCAGATAAACACTTATAGGCTTTTGATTTTACTAAGTTTTTTTTTTTTTTTTTAAAGAGAGTTGAAACGAAAGAAAATATTTACGCTATTTTATGGCGACCAAGATTCCTTTTCCTTAAAAATAAATGTTTTTAAAATATAATTTTAAAAATGATTACAATTGTTTTTTTATTTTATTTATTTATTTATTTTATTTTGGAGTTGTGGATAACCAATAAGAAATAGCAAATGTTTTGTCTACATCAATTCTTATCAATCAGCACAATTATTTAAATGTGAACCAGATATAAGTACAACTAACAAAGTTCCAATATCTTCTGCTTGTTAAAAAAATAAAAATTTTGCTTAACCTTGCTGTCCTTACTTACGCATGCAGGTGAATAAGTATTTAAACAACGCCAAGCTTAAGTAAGGCATACTGAGAATAAAATTTGTGTTTAATGTTGATAAGATATAGTACATATGCAGTCATCATCAATCATTAAACTTATCAATCAACAAAGTTATTAAATCGCATACCAATAATAACAAAAAACCTACAAGATTCTAAAGCTAGTAGTTTGTAAAATCTTTGCTCAGTTTGCGCATACAGGTATAAATTAATTACATTAAATAAAAATTAGTATTTAACTCGAATTCGCGAAAAGGATCTCCTCGAAGGCTAGTTTACCCCCGTTTTTTGAGATAGCAGTTCTCAAGGCTTTAGGGCAGGGCTCAAAAATACAAATATACAGAGTTAAACATTCGTAGCCGCCAACGCGTTATGGATTGATTAACAGTTAAAACAAAGTTATAAAACAAAAACAATAAGGCCGTTTTATGAATTTAAACTTTTTTTACATTTATGTCATATTGCATTACACAACAAAAACGAATGTTATAGCGAATGTGTTAACCGACCTTTTTATAGCACAATCATTGTTAATTATTTATTTATTCGCAAAGCTGAGATTATTTAAATGTTAAAGAGAATGAGTGTTCATCTGGAACAGTATTTTTTTCCCCCTTTCTTTTTTGTTTCGTTTTTCATTAGGCTCTAAGAGGGAGTCCCAGACAAACGACCTTGAGTTATTTTTGTAGCGTTTGGTTTTTAAATAGCCTGGAAAAGAACTACAGTTAACGCAATCGATTAGACTCTTCCTAACTATTTATTTCTGCACACTAATTTTTCGTCTGCTTAAAAGATTAATAGGTCCCCGGAGAAATTTATTTCCGATGCGCTATTAATTTCATCATCTTTATTTTTTATTTTCTAATGTTTCAATAAAAGCGATCATTTTTCAAATAAATGATTCTCCTTTGTTTTTATTATCATCACTATGCAGGCGATAAGTTGAGGAACAAAATCATATATATAATTTTTTTTTTTTTTTGGTATTCTGTTAGAACATTTATGAAAGTCGCTTTCCTTTTGGCGACAGTGTTTTATCGACTTACTTCGTCGAAATATCATTTCATCTACTGCAGTGTTTCCCAAACTTATGATTTTTCTGTACCCTTTCTAAATTTTTCGTAACGCTGTGTACCACTAAAAGAAATTAATGTATTTTTTACTATAAAAAATTAACTCTGCAAAAAATAGCCAATTGAAAAATACGTAATCGTAAATTTTCATGGCTAGCTTTGTTTTTAGATAAAATTTTTTGAAATTTTCGTTTGTTGCAAGATATTTCGCATAAGAACGCGTACCAATGCTAAACTGTTCCCGTAGATCCTGAAAAATGCACTTTGTATGGCAAAAATATACTTAACTTTCCAGCACTTTTTTTTTTTTTTTAATTTTGTCATCAGTTGAATGAACAGCCTATCAACATGATACATGTTAAATGCATGCTAAATGATCATCCTGCCACCTGTGAACCTAGCCTTGGAAATAGGAGAACACCCGAGACATAAATATAGGGGGGGGGGGGAATTTTCNAGACATAAATATGGGGGGGGGGGAATTTTCACTAACTTTTCACTGAGAAATTTTTCCTCGCCATCTTTTCATGTTTTTAAATTTATCTGTCTTTGTAATTATTTGGACAAGGATGTCTATAAAAACGTATAAGAAGGTCCTTTCAAGAAGCATTTAAGCATCTAAGAGAAAGAAAGTTGGTGGTTTGCTTACTTGGGGGGATGTCCAGTACACAAAATAAAAAACGGACCATCCTGAAAAATTTTTGATCTGAAGATCGAATCTGCACGTTCTTCTCAATCTAACTGGGAGGGGGTGTCCTCTAACATGCTAATTTATTAGTGCTGGCAATATTTTCAACTATGAAATCAGACCCAAAAATGTACTTTCTCTGAATAAACATACCTTTTTTTTCAACGGATTCGGATTTCTGATCCCCAAAATATAGGGGATAGCCACAATCTGGAAAATATGGTCCCCATAGTTTGGCCAGGAGGGGGGTACAAAGTTTGGACCCCTTCATGTTAATTTTTTCGTATTTTCGCTATATCTCGAGACCTTTTTAAGCGAATGGAATTTTACTGTGCTTCGAGAAGCTCTTAGTGCTTCTTAAAACATTTCCCTGTGATACGCGAAGAAGTAGGACATGTTTAAAATATATAATGTAAAACAAATTTTGAAGTCTTAAAAATAAAAATATTTCCTACGTAAAAACTTTTTTTTTTTTTTAAAATATTTTAGTAAAATGATTTTTGGAGTTTTCGGTGAGTAAGAAAAAAAAAAATCAAGTATCAATTGCTTATTACCATTCTGGCGAGATATAGATTGTATACGAAAGAAGTCAGAATTATTGTTTCTCGTTATGCGACTGTCAAAGCAAATTCCGGCCGAAAGACAACACTATCCGAATTTTATTGTAACCGTGATATGTTTTTGTTTTGTGTACCTGGCAACTTCGATGCATAATTAGTTTGTTTATTTTCTACATGGCTCCTTGCCTGTCTTAAGTAAGAAATATATAGTGAAATAATTGAAATATTTGTGAAAGAATCATCATTGTGAACGAATATAGATTGAGTCACTTACAAGAATGGATACTTGACGGGCTCGGTTTACTTGAAATAGAATGGAAAGAACAGTTGCTAACGTAAGCGAATCACACGCTTCAACAACCAATCAGGATTGAGATACCCACACTGCATCACTTGCAGGTATCCCATTGCTATAAACGTTGAAAATGAACATTAGGAAAACACATTTCTTTATTAAAAATTTTTTTGATTTTACTTTCACTTGAAAAGCGCGGTAGGAAATATTAATGAACGATTTTATAAATGCTTTTTCTTTTCTTAATTGCTCAATATATTGCTATTAGAAATATTACATTTTCTTTTAAAAAATGCAATTTCTACTTCATTTACAATTTCACAAAGGCAACCGAAAGATTAAATAAATTATGAATTATAGGTCGGATCTAAATATAATCGAAGGTTTCAAAACTAATCAGTGGTAATCAGAAGTGCTAACTCGCGGAACTCTTTCAATTCATCCGTGGAACCTTAGGGTTCCGCAGAACACCGTTGGGCAACCGATGCTGTAGGCGCTGAATGCACAAGGTAAAAACATTATTTTTCGTAGCTCTGTTAACGAGAGAATTAGTTTTATGCATTTGAATAAAAACTAACATAATTTAAAAGATATTCTTTTTTTTTTCTTGTATTTTACTGGAAAGTTTTAACACTGCACCATGTCATCTGACATAATATACATATATATATATATATATAATTGAAAAAAATACTATCATATAAGCTCCTGTCATGCTAGTTAAAAGATATAAAGTTATGAAAAAAAGAAAGAAAAAAAAGCTAAGTGCATGATTGCGTGTGTTGTAATAGATTAGAACCAGAAAAATGTTTCACTATTTTTTTTTTCTAAGGCAAAATAGCAAAGCCATGAACACCTAAAATTTATTCGCATCGGAATAACCATAACTTCTTCTGAATAACAAATTTACACTTCTTCGGTAAGCTTGTTAAATCTTTCGTTTAAAAAAAATAAAAACTAATGACACCATAACTTCGTAATTTGAAGAGTCATCCTCTGTTAGCAAACAATTTCCGAGGGAAAAAAAAAAAAAAACTTGAAAGCAGCAGGGTGTATACACAGATGTGTTTCCAAGGTATGATCGCGTCTAGAAAGAAACAGGGCTGCAGTGAATCACAAAAAGGGAAGAAGCAGAAATTAGGAGAATGACTAGAATAGTTCTTGAGAATAAATTTCGAGCACGCTGTTTACTTTCGGATTCAGAAATTCCTCAACTCAGATGCTATTTCTAGAACCGACTAAGACCGTTCGTAATGTCATAGCAAGCCTTTCCAGTTCGAGGCCACTTAGATTAAATAACTGCTTGGGTTTGATTTTGGATTCTCTCTCAGGGTTAAAAATTATGTTCTCATTAATTCAAACATGTAAATGTAGCATTGGTCTGACTAGCGCAGGAGCGGATCAACTTGGAATCGCGCCTCCGACCTCAAAAGAATAAATAAATAAACGAATTGCGTTAGCTTGGGTTTCGAAAAATTAAAAAAAGAGGCTACTAAAACTGAGAACATATTAAAAATATTCAACTTTTTTGTGATTTGTTTTAATAGCATATAATAAAAACTGTGAATTAGAAACCTTTCAAAACAAATGTTTAAGATTTATTTTTAAAATTTTCTGGCCTTACAAAGTATCAAATCAAAATCTATTAACGAAAGCTAAAATA